GATATCTAACTGACTGAAACATATTCAGCTCTTTTTTTCTAAAAGAATCTTAACAAATGTTCTTCGATACCATAAAACGATATCTAACCCCTCGTACAAGATTCCTAACTACTGATATAGCGAGAAACAACTTCTCTATTGATTACATGCTCCAACTAACATTGCGTTATACTCCCAATAACCAGTAAACAACTAGTAATAAATAGTTATCCCAAATGACAACTAAAATTGATACGTCTAAATATAATAAATACAAAAACACATGACGTTTGTTGCTGTTTCCCGCAGTATCAGCAGTTAGGAATTTTATCTTTGGCCATACCTATAATCGAAAAGCATTGTTCGACTTTATTTCATAAGATTTTTCTAGAAAAAGGAAATTTTTGAATTTAAATTTGAATAAAATTGTGTAAAAAATATAAAAGCTAATACAGGTTCGGAAAGTACCGATGGTCCATCTGCTGTTACGTGAGAGCGATAAAGTAAGACATAGAAATCCATGCGATAGAGAAGGATGGCTATAATGAAGGCGTCTCATAGTCACCGCCCGTTTCGCCCTTCCCACAAATAAGATCCACTTCTTATTTGTGGAAATGGGCGGTGACTATTAGACGCCTTCATTATAGCCATCTTTCTCTATCGCACGGATTTCTATGACTTACTTTATCGCTCTCACGTAACGGCAGATGGACCATCGGTACTCTCCGACCCTGTATATGTAATATATGTTTTTTAATAACAACTCATTGAAATAGCATTCGACAAATAGTTCGGTAAAAATTCATATATTTATTTTAGAGTCAAAGGCTGAATATTTATTTGTAATGATGATGATGGCCTTTTACATTATGTATTTTCTATTTCGCTATACAAGTAGATTTAAATAATAAATATCCTATCCTATATCTTATATCCTATCATATTTCTTATTATATGCTATCCTATAGCTTACTCAAAATGGGCGTTTTATTTTATTTTCGTACCCAATATAAAGAAATTGAGGAAATGAATGTAAGAACTTTATTTCAAAATTTGAACATGGAAATAAATCTGAATTCTGAACAATTAATTCTTCCTAATGAACTGTATTGATCTTCAAAACGAAAAAGGTTTACTTACACAGAAAAAGTTTATTCAAACGCTTTTTTGAAAAATAAAAATATATTACAGATTAGTTTTTTAACCAAACATACCCGTTTCCCAAAATAATAAATAAGTATCAAATTATTATTTTTTTTTTTTGTTACTGCTATCAATGGTTGACGGTCTGGACAGGCCCTGTAGATATTAATTGTTAAACAGGATTGCTATCTATTTATGAGTTTCCGATTAGTTCAAAATCAACTACTATATATTAGCCCACAAAAACTACATTTTTGTACATTAGAAATTTTTAGCTGGTAATTCCTTTTCATAAAATGAAATTTTAAAAAATCTCCTTTCAACTCTATCTTCAACTTCATCAATATACATAGGTATATTTCTTGAATGTATACGCCACTAAATACTGCTAATACCTACATTTCGGTCATTAAGTAGGTGTTTTTTTTCAGTTCTCGCCAGTTCTACATTTTTACGATTTTTATTACTTATGCAGAATCACCTTAAAGATATGGCACTATAAATATAAGTAGCTGCAATACCAGCGGCTATTCTGTCCAAGTTAAACCGCTACGGCAGTAAATCGTGAAGAGCTGTTGTAAAATTATAAGAAGTCCTCAATTCTTGAATATGCGAATTTTAAAATGGAATCTAAACAATGGATGCATATTCAAGCCGGGGTTTAACAAGGGTCAAGTATAAAATTTACGAGGATTGACACTGATAACCTCTTTTAAGAAAGAGGTTCTAAAACTTTAATGCCCTCTTCGGAACGTCAAACAAATTGGGTCAAGATGGAGAAATAAAAACTACTACAAACTAATTTAATATTTGTTATACATCTTTAATCTCAAGCGAACTCGGTTTTTTGCAATACATTAGATAATTTATTAAATATACTACTTCGTGCTTTTAAAGAATCATAACTAATAAATTGTCCATGACCACACGGATGCGGAAAAATAAAAATTTGAGAACTGCTGTATCGGATTTTTTATGACGGCCTCTAAACTAGTTATTAAAATGGTAATATCTTCCATAAAATTTAATGTAGGATTAAAAATAAATACAAAATATTAATACTGTCTAGCTTGTATACCCATGACATCATCTAAACATAAAAATTATTTTTTCATTTTGTACAAGAATTTTCATATTTTATTATTCCGCAAGTAACATTTACATATAATTCAAAAAAATTTTTGTATTTTTTTACGGTTAGGTATAACTTTAAAATCTTAAAATAGGTATGTCTCCAACTATCGAATACCTACCTATATTAATAGTCCAGACGGCATCTGTTTCAAAAAGCCATATGAATCGCCAAGTGAATCGTATATCTACGGAGATTTTTGGATTTTTGGCTTTCAAATATCACTAGAAATGAAAATTTTTCTATGCGCATAAAAAAAACGTGGGCTTAACTATTGGCGGCACAATATTTTTAAAAAAATTCGAAAAATGCCATATTTTTCTTCCTATTTAATTATGTATTTTTTCAAGAGTTGATATTAGGCGAAATTGAAAGAGGAAAAAAATTTTTGTAATTAAGTTTTTTACAAAACATGACTAGTTACAAATCGAATGAATCATGATTATTATGGTAAAAATCGAAAAAATCGCAAAAATGGGGTTAAAAAACAATACTTTTTAGGAAATTTTTTTGGGGTATTTAAATTGGGTATAGGACCTTTATACTTGGCTCAAGAAAACTTCATGTTATGTAGAACCATTACACCAAATTTNTCGCAAAAATGGGGTTAAAAAACAATACTTTTTAGGAAATTTTTTTGGGGTATTTAAATTGGGTATAGGACCTTTATACTTGGCTCAAGAAAACTTCATGTTATGTAGAACCATTACACCAAATTTCATCAAAATCGGTTCCATAGATTTTGCATAATAATTTTGCAATCCAGATTTTGAAAAAAAATTTGCAAATTTTCAAAATTTTGCACAGCAAAAACCAAGGCCCTTAGATACTTGAAAATTTAATCACATATAGAATTGCTCTCAAGCTTTCAAACATTTTTTGAAAATTTCGAATCCGTCAATTAGGAGAGCTCTGGCGCTTGTTTAAGCAATGGTCGAATTTTTGTACTTATAAACAATTAGAGTAACTTTGTGAATATTCAATCAAATCAAATTTTTTAAAGCAGGTTTTAAAAGTTCTTGGAAAGACGCTTCTTTAAAAAGAAAACATATTATGCAAAATCTATCGAACCGATTTTGATGAAATTTGGTGTGATGATTCTACATAGGTAACATGAAGTTTTCTTGAGCCAAGTATAAAGGTCCTTTACCCAATTTAAATACCCCAAAAAAATTCCCTAAAAAGTATTGTTTTGTAACCCCATTTTTGCGATTTTTAGATTTTTACCATAATAATCATTATTTATTCGATTTGTAACTAGTCATGTTTTGTAAAAAATTTAATTACAAACATTTTTTTCCTCTTCCATTTTCGCCTAAAATCAACTCTTGAAAAGATACATAATTAAATAGGAAGAAAATTATGACATTTTTCTAATTTTTTTAACATATTGTGCCGCCAAAAGTTAAGCCCACGTTTTTTTATGCGCATAGAAAAATTTTCATTTATAGTGATATTTGAAAGCCAAAAAGCCAAAAATCTCCGTGGATATACGATTCACCCAAACCAAAACAGATACCGCCTAGTCTATAACTAATTAATTAAATATTTTTTTGTGTAAATGTTGTATATATTTTAGCAGAGCCGTAATTTATGATTAATTTATACCTAAGTACTAAACATTTTATATTTTTCAGATATCACTTATTTAGTACCTACTGCCCTACTATTAAGATTTCCTGTCTTCGTCACTCGTACTTCACGACTTCGTATTTCGTAGACAAGATGAGTAGTCAAGATGAGTAGTCAAGATATTGTACCAATCTTACCATAAAGTTTTCTATGGAACACCCTGGCGTTTTTTTTTTCTCAGGGTAGCAGTGCTATAGGGTTTGGTAAATTAATCTCTAATATTAAAAGAGTTATTGTCAAGAAGATGTGAACTAAAACTGTAATGTTTTAATATTGGAAATGTTTAAGGAATCCTTAGTGTAACCTTAGAGGTTAGAGAAATATAGGTTCATGTGTATAGAGGAGTATAAACCGCTGGGCGCAGGTAAAGATCGATCGGAGTGGTCTTGGTGCTGTTGAGTACGTTGGACCCTTTTGTGTAGAACAAAAGTGATTCCGGTATTTCACGATTACGGGGGTGGCAATAGAGAGGAAAATGTTGAACATTTTGGATATTTTTTAAGACTATGTTTAAGTGCACTATAAGTGAACTTACCACGAAAACTAAGTTTTCCAACGTTCCTAGAGTTCATTTTTCTATTTATTTATTTTTGTAAATAATTCCTAAAAAGGCGCATATTATTTAAAAACTGCAACTTATATTACAAATCTTGATCCTGCTAACTTTTGAAAAATTATATTAGCAATAATTTATTTAGGTGAAATCTAATATATACATAATATTTTTTTGTATATTCATAATAAAATTGATTAACATAGAATTTATATTAGTCCAATTCGTTGTCTTACAGTATTAGAACGCGTCAATAGAGGCGCTGGTTTAACACAACTTGGCGAGAAGTAAAGAGTTTGATCTGCAAAACCTACTAATCTGTGATCTATTTCTTAATAACTATTGTTCAGTTGGCTATTCTGTTAAAAGATTTGTGTTCTATTGTTTTATTTATTTATTGATGAAATCAGGAATCAGGAAATATGAGGTTATGGAATTATTATGTCTATGCTACATGAAATTTTAATTTTATATTTAACTTGCAACTTAACCGTAATCAAGGAAATAGACTAACTAATACCTAACCTAAAACTTAAGACATACAAATATTTGTATAATAAAATGGCCGCAGTTTTAAAAAAACGAGCCCTAGCTGAATATAGTCAGACTATTCAGGTAGGTAACATAATAGAGCACCTTTGTTTTCCTTTTTAATATTTTTTTGTTATTACGCTTAGGAGGCCCATACTCAAGTGCCATTGAAAAAGCTACGTTTAGTGAAAAAGCCAACCCTCAGTCCAGGAAGTTCTGCTTTGACTCTATTAAATCTTTTGGAGGATTCTGTGAATAGTAGTGAAGCTCTCCAAATTTTACTTCGTATTTCAGACAATTTTGATGTAGAGGCAGGAGACATAGCAGATTTTGTTAAGAAGTTGAGTGAACATTTTAGAAATGAATCTGAATCTGCCGTAAGAGTAAAGATTTTATCTTTATTGTCTGATTTGGGGCATGAACCTAATGCTGATGTTGCGCTAATTATTGACGAAACAATTTCCCTTCTAAAAAGTGACAAGTCACATAAAGTTATTGCACAAGGAATGAACACTATTCTTAAACTCGGTAAATTGATTCCAGACAATGTATCGCCATTTCACCAAAAGTTAGTTGAAGTAGGGAAATTATATTTGAAAGACGTCAGCCATGCTGTAAAATGCAAGTGTTTGGAAATTATTGGTGGTCACTTCCCACTTTGTACTGAAGATGACACTGAAAAATTGTTGCATTTAGTAAGCTCTTATTTTAACAATGATGATGCCAGAGTAAGAAGCCAGGCATTTTCGACTGTTATAACTTTACATGAAAGAGGGTTTAAAATCAATCCAAAAATTTATATTGATGTTTGTGAGGCATTAAAAGATGATTATGAGATTGTTAGACATGTCGTTCTTAAGTTAATTTGGCTATTAGGAAATACTTATCCAGAAAAGTAAGTACTTAATTGATTATTTCCCATGTTATTATTATTTTTATATTTACATTTTACTTTTGTTTATGCATAATTCAAATTATTTTATATTTAACTTGTCAAAGACAAGTAGAATTGCCATTTGTAGATTTCGGGTGATAGTTTATCTTACATTTTTTATATTACTTAAATTTCCTATAATACTTGTTATTTGTATTGTTTGCTTTATTATTTGCATATTTGCGTTTAGTGAAATATTGTTACCTGGAAGTGAACATGAGATTCGGTTGATAGATGACGCTTTTGGAAAAATATGCAATGGTGTAACAGATCTTTCAATGCAAGTCAGAACACTTGCTTCAAAATTACTAGGCGGTATGAAGTTAGTCAGTCCAAAATTCCTTAATCAGACTTTAGACAAGAAGTTAATGTCCAATATGAGAAGAAAAGTAAGTACAATTAGTACAAATTTAATATACATAGACATATAGAAAATAACAAACACATTTATTAATATTTCGCAATTATTTTTAAGAGGACGGCTCATGAGCTTGCCTGGGAAAATGTTACTAGTGGGGAGTGGGCTAGTGGTAAAAAGTGGGCTGATGATGCACCAAGGGAGCTTTTAGATGCAGAGAGTATAAGTTTAATGAGCAGTGGAGCTTGTGGCGCTTTTGTACATGGGCTGGAAGATGAATTTTTAGGCAAGTGTTTTTCTTAGAGTATTTTTTCTAGACACAGTTGCAAACTATTTTAAAGCATTATGTATTCCTGTTAAATTTATGACTTCACGTATGAAGCTGGATGATTCTGTTTTAAGACTTTCTTATAGTCCGTTTCGATGTAGTAGGCTCTAAGGTTTAAAATATATTAATTCCGATTTTAATTTTCTGTATGTTCTATTAACTTACTCATCGACATTATTTTCTGGGTTCTAAGAACTAAAAACTTAATTTAAACATAAAAAGACACATTATAAAACACATTATTTTGTGCTGTTTTTCCCTCTCTGACTATATTATCATTAAAACATGAGTAGAATTCAAAAACGCAATTAAAAATGTGACATGCCATTTAAATGAAAAAAATTGGTGTTAACTTCTGGTATAACAATATTAATTTTTATTACTTAAAAAGTAGCAGAAAATCTCTGAAATGTTCTAAGTGGTCACTGTGACACATACTGATTATACTACTATTCCAAAGGACCCCGCAACTATCCTTATGAAAACCGGTCCTGGTCGAATGGTACGAAACTTTGCCAAATGATAGTCTTCAATGTGTCGATCAAAAAAGTCCATGGGACCTACCTAGGTCTGAAAAACTACTGTTCTGAAGCTAGAGCCTTCTGAAGTTATCGAATCCATTTATATTTTATATGCGTAAAAACATAAGATGTCGCTCAAGCAGTACGTGTCACTATCGCTGTTCTTCAGTAGGTGCTTCACCGATTTTTTGAAGACTGAAGGATGATACAGGTATTTTTACCGCGGATTCACATTCAGCACACAAAAATACATCAAGAACCAACCAGCTTGGTCACTTTATAAAGAAATATTAGCTTTTACTTGCCCATAAATCATTGGATTTGATGGTCATCGAGCACATGGATTTGATAACTTCAGAACAGTAGTTTTTCAGATCTAGGTCCCATGGACTTTTTTGGTCAACACTATCATTCGGCAAAGTTTCGTACCATTCGACCGGGACCGGTTTTCCATAATGATAGTTGTGGGGTTCTTTAAAATTTGCTTTTGTGGTAGAGAATTTCTCTATTTAATTATCTCTTTAAGCAGAGATTATATGTGCGATGTTTTGGAACAGGAGTCGCAAAGCTAGATATATAATTCTACTCTTCATCATTATTGTTTGTAGAAGTTAGATCCGCCGCCGTAGAATCCTTGTGCCAGTTGTCAATAAGTAATCCACAGTTCGCAAATATGGCGCTGGACTTTTTAGTAGACATGTTCAATGATGAAATTGAGGATGTCAGGTTAAAGGCAATTGATAGTTTGAGGATGATATCAGAACACATAATTTTAAGAGACGATCAGCTAGAAACGATATTAGGTGGGTTCTATTAATTTTTTTATTTGGAAAATTGTCTGACAATGATCCTTAGGGGCCTTGGAGGACTTCTCCCAAGATGTAAGAGAAGGACTGCACGGAATGTTAGCTTCGTGCAAAATGTCCACCACTGCCGGACTAAAAATGTGTGTGGAGAAGTTACTGGATAATTTAAAGAGATATCCTCAAGATAAAAGATCCACCTTTAAATGCCTACAAAAAATTGGATCGCAACATCCGGAGCTGGTGTTGCCTTTGGTCCCGCAATTTTTGAATATACATCCATTTTTTGACACTGCTGAGCCTGATGTAGAAAATCCTCAATGTATCCTTTTTTTGTGTTATTGTTATTAATTAGTTGTTAATTTCGAAGCAAACATTTCCTTATCCAATGTATAGATATCTGTCTATTGATCTTAATTCTAAACGCTGCACAACACTCCTTAACTATACTGCCACTTCTGGAGCCTCACACTCTCAGGCATTATCTTTATTTGCGAGATACCATGACGCAGTACGTTCCAATTCTCAACCTGCCGGATTCCAATTGCAATGTTGTCTCGAGGCCCATGTCAGTTCCAGAAAGTTTAGAATTTTTGAACAGTGTGATACGAAACCTTGATATGGCTGAAAATACAATAAGGTAAGTAAACATGCTTGCAAAAATATTAGAGATGGACACTTTTCGGAAAAGTGTTATGAACATGTCGATGAAATGTCCGGACATGTCGGGAAAAGTACTTTTGTCATGTTTTCACAGGTCAATACTTGAGGGTACACAAAGCAAAATATTACTTTTATTCTAATGAATATGTGTCGATATATTTTATTTATTACCTACCTTTAGACTTTTTTATAACTGATTTCTAATTTTCCCCGGACAGCCCATACATTTATTTAAATATTTTTCCATCCTACTGGAATTCTTAAAAATTGTTTTTGAGTGGAAGTTACATTTATAATGATTTTTACTCAATTCAGAAAAATATAACCAATCTATTGATTTTGGCATCATACTTCATTTATAAACTCTGTGTATTAAATATTAAATTATGAATCAACTGATTACTATTTACTAGGTAATCGTTAACTTTGCCAAAAATAATAAAATATGAACATAGAAGAGGTTATATTTTTAAAATGTCAGTTTCAGTTAAACAATTACCAACAAAATTACAAGAAAATGGCTAAATATCTTTAATTTTACATGTACCAACTTCAAAAATTTTTTGCGGGAATCATGAATGCAACAAATAATTCCACGCATGCGCATACAACTTTCCAATCTTGAAAAGTGACCTCAGGACATGTCTACTTTTGACGACATGTCCCATAGACATTTCCAGCTGACATGTCTGCGGCACATCTCTAAAAAATATGAAATCTTTCAGGGTACCTTAAATATTTCTAAAGAAAAGGCAATTTAGATTTGTTTTTGCTAATAAGGTGCCTGAAGTAAAATATACCACCCTGCCCAAAATAGGGATGTCTGTCATGGGGTTATTGAAATCTATTAAAAAAATAGCATCACACGTATTACAGAAAATGATGCCGTTAGGAAACCATTGAAATGAGTGAAGAGCTGTAGCATATATCACTTTTAAATATGGGAAATTTCAGAATAGATAGATTTGTGAGTGGTAATAACTTTTTGATTTATACACTAATGACAATTTTGCCTTAATTTTCGTTTTTTTAAATTGCCATAATCTTATTAAAAAATATCTTGTGATTCTTTAAAGTGTTTAATATTTTTTAGAGATAGTAAATTTAAACTAATCGCTTCATCTACAAAATTATATTTAGCTTTGGTATTGCATTATAAAACTGTACGATATGTACATTTGATGTTACTGACAAAAAAATTTTACATCGTGACTCAGTGGGGGAAATTTAATATTGTTTGCAATAATCATTTGATGGTTTTTTAAATCAAAAAATTGTTGACTTTGCCCACATTTTCAGGGGAAGTTAGGCCATCCACAGTCATCAATGTCGTCAAATCTAAAAAAGCTTGCCTTAAAAAAACAGTCTTGTCTTAAAATATATACTTTGAACACTTTTAATTCTACGTTCGTTGCTGTCATTAGTGGTTTAATTTTGTTTTGGAAACATTACAATTATTAGTTTTTTTTTTCATCAAGTATGATTCTTTAAAGTTAATCCTTTTAAAACCAAATAAAGTTTAAAGTATTTTAACTATTTCTGTTTGATGTTTAATAAATTGTAGGGTACTTAATTTGTAAAATTTTTTTTTTTTTGGTTTACTGCTTAAATATTTTGAAAAATATGTATTTTAAAAGTCAGTGCTGTATTAAAAAAAGAAATTGATGGTACAGCTGTGATAAGTAACAAAATTTGCAGCTGCTTATTGCCTTTTAATAAGTAAAATTTTAGAAAATGCTAATGAAAAAGTATCCAACTTGGTCTGATATTAACATCAGAAGAAATAAAATAGAATATAAAGTAGAAAATTTTAGTTGTTTAGTTTTTAGTTAGTATGCCATTTTTATTGTGTAGCTTATTTCTAATTTAAGCTACCCTATATCTTTCGATATCCCTATGTTGGCTTATCCTTTTTTTTTAATGGTATGGTAGTATCTGATGCTAGAAATTTTATATATTTTCAGAGTACATACAACTTTACTCCAAACAGCAAAAGAACATCTTAATCGCCTGAGCGAAATGGACTCTACGGTTGCTGGAACCGCACAATTCACTTCGTTGTATATAGGAGCTCAGCTTCACATATCTCAAATATTAGAAAAAGGTTTCTGGGCGAATCCGGGAACTCTAGCAACACAACAGGCCAATAATTTAAAAACCAGTATTCAAAACCTGTTACAGCATTGCCTGAAGTTACAGTTTTTCTTTGTGGGGCTCAGTCCTGTGGAACAGTGTGCGGTTAAACAATTTAGACTCCGAGCTTTGGCCCTGAATTTGGTGTACATAGTAAAAGGTATGTTTATTTTATTTCCTTTCACAATAGTTCCTTAAATTATTAAGGGGTCCCTCAAGCAAAGCCGAGTTGACCATTCATGTTTGTGCACCCTCTTTCCAAATAATAATTTTATACATGAATTTGTGGACATTTTTAGACTCGACCTTAAAATTCGACCCTGAAAATGACAATATGTCTTACAAAAATCTAAAACAAATTAAACTATTGCAAGGGACTTGTCATTAATTTGGATTACTTTAAATAACTTTATTTCATGCAGTCCTGTAAATAAGTGTAAATTTGTAAAATCTCGAATTATGTACAAGTGTTTGCGAAACTGTAGGTTGCAAGTACAAATAAAAATTTGGAACATTAAAAGGGTGTAGATTTTTCCTGGATTAAAAAAAGATTTGAGATTTGGGAAAAACTAAGAAAAAATGTACCAAACATATCGACATCGACATCAGATCACTATTAATGCTCTTTATTATGCTCTTTTATATTTCGGGAATGGACGATCATGGTGAAGCCATCTGACAATTGAAGTTCAATTATTTGTTGATATACTTACTCAGAACAACAGTAAAATACATATTTGAATTTTCAGTATATTTTTATGATATGTAAAAAATATAATTTTAACTTGTAGATACATAGTTAAAAGAAAAACAGTCCAAATAAGTTTTTTTAAATATAGGGTGATTCAGTTATACTGTCATTAATTTTAAGGGAAGCTAGAGAAAAATGAGTAGAATACGAATATGCGATTAATAAAAAAATTTAAAAATGTGTATTTGCGCTGAAAAGAAATGTATTTTCAAATCATTATTTAAATTCCTTTTCGGACTGCTCCTGACCGCTGAGTGAATTTTGACCTACCGTATTCGGTCACTAACTTGGCTTTTATTGTGTTTTTAATAGCGAATGACAAAAATTTTTTTACCTTGACACAAGATATTTTTTACATTTTAAATATTCACAAGTATTTTTTATTTTTTAATTAATACAAATACATATACAATAAGGATAATAATTGTTTTTGAATATTAAATTATTGCAATTTATTTGTACATTTTCACTATGCTTTATAATTGAATATGGGTATTTAGTATTGTTAGTTAATTATTCAGTTTGTAGTACATATACTTTATTGTGTGTGACTAAAAAAATATTCACTCATCCGTCCATAATATTTTGTTAAGTTGAGATCCTGCACTTTGATTTAGAAACCAACTGTAAAACGACTGGGAAATTAGCTGTTTCTTGTGGTGCATCGGCGCGTTCCCAGTCAGCAAATGTGATGCAAAGTAGGATGCCGAGTTAATGGGAGTTAAGGGGTAATTTGCTTATTTTTTAAAAGGTTGACTAAAATGTTTTTTTCAATTTTCTGTCTTTTCGGACGGCCTAATGCCTTCCGAATACATGGTTAAAATTGATAACTGAATCGCCCTGTATAAAAGTCCCGCACAAAATGATATTTGTCAAACTGTAATTTTGGGGCAAATGAGAACATATAATTGGGGTACTTAGTAAATCTAGGGCCTATAGTTTTCTCAAATAAATATGCTTAAGATCTTATAAATATTTCGTGTTATTTCTAACATTTCAGGAAGTAATGCTTCTGCGTTAGCTCCTTGCCATCACTTTTTAACTGTAGTTGAAGATATGCAAAAAGAACTGAGTCAATATGGGCTTGAACCTGACAGTTTTACTGCCTCAGTATTTAGAGAATTATCATTACTAGAGGAACCTAAGCCAGGTACAGTTTCACGTATACTTATACCAATTTTATCTGAAGCTAAGTTGGGACGAATACCGAGACCAAATATTGATGTAAGTTTCACAGTTATTGTATTCGTATCGTTAAAACATTTTCAGTGACATCATTTATAGCTACAAAAAGATATTCTGATGTAAACATTTTATTTTACTTAAGTGAGATGAACAGTCTATGATTGATCGGTACTACTCGATGTCTAGCCGTTTAAGGGGAGAAATCACATTAGGAGTCTTTATTTTCAGGTGTTTCCCATTAAATTTTTTGAATAGAACAAATTGATTAGAATTTGATGAAACTTTTACATTATTTTATCAGTATTTGGAATTACATTTACAAATTTTTTCAAGTCACTTGTGTTGAAAATGCCGAAGTTATGGGCAGTTGTTCACCGAAAGTCGTCGTTCGAATCCGTTGTTCATGGGAGGTCACAATTTTGATCTGAAAGCAAAATGGTTGTTTTCCTGCATTATTAACATGTTTTATAAGAATGTGATTCTCATTATGGGTAAAAATTGTGAAAATTGAAGGTATGACATGTGTTTGAGAAGAATGTATTGATTTTCACCATTTTTTCCCACTCATTTTGAATAAAAAATACTCTGAAAATTATAATGTCATCCCATTTGTTGGTTCATGTTCTTTGTAATTTCATAAATAAACACACTTTCAATTTTCATAATCGGTTCATAACTTTTTGAGCTAGAGTTCCCATGAATAAAAAACTGTCATTTCAAGAAAAAAAGGGGTTGGAAAATTTCCGAAAACTAGAAATTTGAGAAAGTTGTCAACAATATAACAGTTCTTCTTCTTCCTCATAGGCATTATTCTGAGCTTGCATTTGTTCTTTTCTTGCTTAATAAGTGACTAGACTACCTGAATAAGCGCTCCTACCTGCTGTGCACACAATGGGCTCATAGGCTCATAAAATCGGTACGAATAGGAATTGCGTTTTGAAATTTTGGCAGCGTATTCTTGAATAGTTATACTAACAATTCATGTAATAAGAAAATCTGATTTTTCAAACTAATGTGATTTTCCCCCTTAAATGGCCAAATTGGCAGAGAGCATATTAGTCCAATCATTCTGTCATGGCCTAATGTTAAATTTACAAAAAATATCACCTGGAAACAAAAAATATGGTGATATAGGAAAAAAAATTCTAAGAAAGATAGTTTTTTCCTGTGGCGCATAAACGGCGAAGTTAACCTAAAAAATTCATAAAAGTCAAAAAAACGGTTTTTTGCTAATAAAAAAAAACTTCGACTCCAATTGAAAAAAGTTAAATGAGAAAGTTGTAGCAATTAAAAAGACCTCAAAGAATCATATTTTGAAATATATCGATTACTATATTACTTTTCGAGATATATCGAAAAAACAGACAAAAATTGACCTTTATTATTTTTGCTGTATCTCTTGCAAATTAAGGTTTTGAAACTTGTTACTTGCTGTAAATGTAGTCCTCAGCAAGTAAAAAAAGTGCCTTTTTTAAATTAAAAAATATTAAAGATTTTTCGAGTTATATCGATTTACCGAAAAAAAGCTCATCTCGAAAATTGGCTGTCCTTGCTCGACGAATAGTCGTAGACAAACGAATCAGGGCTCATTTTTTCCTTAATAGTTGTACTTTCATGGTAAAAAAGAGTTATAACAGTTTCATTAATTTCAAGTGTCCAAAAATAACTTTGAAAAAAGTAAACATTTTTTGGTCGCATTTTTCTTGAATATCTTTTTTGATTTCCATTTCTCGATAATGTCTATAAGAGGAATCGATTACTGGCATTTTTACGCGAATTTAAAAAAAAATAACGTTGCTCTACGATCTTCTGGAGTCAAGATTTTTTTTTTGTCTTCAAAAAATTCCACAGGCCGCTATGTAAGTTCTACAGCTTCCATTCTTACAGAGATTGAAGTTGAAGACTTATATTTTCAATAAAAAGATAAGATGTGGTTCATTTTAGCCACTTCTGCATTTCTAATGTTTTTTAATTGTTCGTCAAACCGAAACATTCAAGCGCGGCACGAGCTAACTGTGGCGGGCCGCGGAGTGTAGGTAACGCTACTCCACTGCTCAGAAAACTGAATTTGCACATTCAAAAGCGCTCTTACTTTCCAAAATCTTAATTATCTCGACTTCTGCACGACGTACAGAAATCCTTTAGTACTTATTCTGGGGTAGCTCAACGTGATAAACCAAAATATGACGTTTACGATGGCCTCAAAAGCATAATTACCTTTGAAAAATGTAATTTTCCTTTAGTCTAAAATTCTCTCACCTCTTGTTAATATTTTAATAATTATTTATAACAAAAAATATAAATACCAGTGAACCTCAAGAACCATTAATACCAGAGGAAATATTAAAAAAATATATCATGTAGCTGTGAAAGCGGTTGCAAAAATAGCATCTGTGGTTGTAAAAAAAAAATTTTTTTTTGTTTACATGGTGATTCATCTCAAAGCGAAAATTTTAAATTTTGAAACTCCAAACATCCAATTAGACGATAATTCTTCTGACGCGTTTGAATCACTCATTGATGAAACGAATTATGTGGAAAATCAACTTGATTGCGTGGAAAATATAGGAAACGAAATTAGGGAAGAAGAAGAAAACAAATCATAATAATAATAAGAAGAATTGAAACATAAGATGAATACCACGTAATTTTCTGTACGATAATTAATTAAATATTTTGTAATACTTTTATAATAAAAAGATATAATTACCGTAAAATGTTGTACTTACTTCACTTCATAAACAATTATTAAACAATTATTGAAATGTTAACAAGAGGTGAGAGAATTTTAGACTAATGGAAAATTACATTTCTCAAAGGTAATTATGCCTTTGAGGCCGTCATGACCGTCATATTTTGGTTTATCTCGTCGAGCTACCCCAGATTTAAGTACAAAAGGATAGTCGAGATAATGAAGATTTTGAAAAGTAAGAGTGCTTTTGAACACGCTAAGTCAGTTTTCAGATCAGCCGAGTGGTGTTACCCCCACTCCGCCGCCCGCTACAGTTAGCTCATGCAGTGCTCGAATGGTTCGGCTAAAATGAATCACTGTATTTTTTTATCGAAAATATAAGTCTTCAACTTCAATCTCTGTAAGAATGGACGCTGTAGAACTTAAATAGTGGCCTGTGGAATTTTTTGAAAAAAAAATGATCTCGGCTCCAGAAGGTCATAGAGCAACGTTCTTTTTTTAAAATTCTCGTAAAAATGCCAGCAATCGATTCCTCTAACAGGTATTATCAAAAAATGAAAATCGAAAAAGATATTCAAGAAAAACCCGACCAAACCTTTTTTACTTTTTTCAGTCATTTTTGGACACTTGGAATGAATAAAATCGTTATCACTCTTTTTTATCATGAAAGTACAACTCTTAAGGAAAAAAGTGAGCCCTTATTCGTTTTTCTATGACTATTCGTCGAGCAAGAAGAGCCGATTTTCGAGATGATCTTTTTTCGAAAAATCGATATCTCGAAAAATTTTTTATATTTTTTAATTTAAAAAAATTGCACTCTTTTGCTTGCCGAGTGCTACATTTACAGCTAGTAACGAGTTTCAAAACCTTAATATACAAGAGATACAGCAAAAATAAAAAAAGGCGATTTTTGACTGTTTTTTCGATATGTCTCGAAAAGTAATATAGCAATCGATATATTTAAAAATACGAATCGGTAGGTTTTTTTAGTAGCTACAACTACCTTATTTAATTTTTTTCAATTGGAGTTCAATTTTTTTTTATTAGCAAAAAACCGTTTTTTGACTTTTATCATTTTTTTTTAAGTTAACTTCGCCGTTTATGCGCCACAGGAAAAAACACTATCTTAAAATTTTTTATCCTATATCACCATATTTTTTGTTTCCAGGTGGTATTTTTTGTAAGCTCTTCTACCTATTAATTGGAATATATACTACACGGAGGAAGTACCGCATGTTAAAAAGTGTAAATGCCTTAGAGAGATAGGGCGATAGTTTGGGTACATGCTTTCTCTCTTTTAATTTTATTTGAATATTACGAAAATAAACAAACAAAATCTATCACAACTTTTGTACGTTTGCTTTTTCAAAAGTTAGGATTAATTAAATCGATCACTAAATCAACTTGATTTTTATAATTTTGACATTTTCATACAAAAAAGAAGTATTGTTACTATACAATTTTTTTATAGATTCGCATGAGTTCAGCAGTGATTTTAGAACCAAGCAACCAGACTGATACCTCTTTAAAGTTCACTGCGGGACTTATAATGTCAGTACCTTTCGAAGCTGAACTAAAATATTTAATTGATCCGAGCCGAATTAGACTGAAAATTAAATACCCTGATCAGAAAACTCAGGTCATTTTACCTCGACCAGCACATTTGAAGCCTCTATACTTTGACGCCACTGATAAAGGTAAGGTTTGTAATAGTATATTACGTAATAAGTGTTGTAAAAAGCATTTTACGCATGAATGGAAAAGTTACGCACGACGTGGCGTAGTGGTGAGTGCGTAATTGCATTACACCACGTATTACATACTATACTTTACCTACGACCACTACTGTAAATATTTAAAAACACCGTCTGCGATCAATGTAATATTCCTATTACGTACGGTAAAAAAATCGCACAGCTTGGTAAAAAAATTGTACAGTTTTCCTAGCAACCGCCTAGCAACGATCAATACAAACAGTATTTATTATATTGACGGTTGCTAGGCGGTTGCTAGAAAAACTGTACGATTTTTTTACCAAGCTGTACGATTTTTTTACCGTACGTAATAGGAATATTACATTGATCGCAGACGGTGTTTTTAAATATTTACAGTAGTGGTCGTAGGTAAAATATTTTACTAATAAAATAGGGCACATAAATCTAAAAATTTTTTTTATATATAATAGAAATCATTTGGGAGTTACAATAGTTACTTTTTTATTAAAATTATATACACTTTTTATAGAAGACATAATTTGTGAGCATGTTAATTTATTTTAGAATCTCAAGTGGGTCATAACATTAGGCTGCTAACATCAGTATTAGTTTCACATCAGGTTTGGTCGGAAGCATGTAATGTCGAAATTAACATAGCCCTAGCAATTCCAGAAGCAGATATTGGAAAGAGGAAAACCATAGCGGATTCAACACCAACTCTATTGGACTTGTGCAAACCCGTTAAAGTTAGTGTTGCTCCGAAACCAATAAAAAAAGCTTTGTAAATACTAGTTATATTTTAATTTGTATTTTGCAAAATAAAGTTTTTGACTTTGTTCTGGAGTGTATAAAACATACAAATTTGAAATGATGATGAAATTTGTTGTTATAATCTTTGTTGGTTGACAGTATATACCAGGTTCTGTCGGTGACACAGCAACATTGGGCCACTGGGCAATAAATCTCAGCTGTTGACAAATTGCCCAACAGTGCAGTGCAGCAATGCGGAATTTGGTGTGATTCAGGTGATTTTAATTTATTATAGGCACTTTCTATTAATCATTGATATTACAATTGCGAAAGGGAGAAATAATTTTATTACAACATGGCAACAAAATTTACCATCAATATACTAAAATTGTTTGAGGACATAAATAATTAAAATATTTTGTTGGCCAAGTGAACATATAATAGAAATTTTTTACACATTATATACAAATTATTATAATTTTTTACCTTTAGCAGAAAACTTTTTTAGGGACGCCTACGAAATATTAAATTTTATTGCCTGGTGTTCTTTTTTACATGTTCAACTGACTTCAGAAAGACTATACTGTGACGAGTAGGACATTATTTGTTCCATAATTGTAGTTTTGATTACATAGATTGATTTTCAAAATGGAAGTTTCCCCTAGGTACTTAGGAGTTGAAGGTACTCAGAAGATAATGCTTAATATGGTTTTTACTGACAATCCTCTAAAGGGGGATCAAATTGATGGGATTTGGGGGGCAATTTTATCTGAAACTCAGAGGACTGGAGCCTGGTCCACATGAATAATTTATTGACATCAAAAACCATAAGCGGTGAAACATTTTTATATAACATTTTATAACAGCAGCAGATAGATAATAATTGTAAAAATTATCCATACTAGAAAGAACAAAAAATTGGATGCCAAAAGTTATATACACATTTAATTTTTTTTTAGTGTGGCAAAAATACCCAATTGTAACAAATAAAAATTTTGCAATGTTCTATAATAAAATTTGAAGTTAAAGTGGTATTGCTGAAAAAATATAACAAAGGTAGAAAAAATGTGCAATTTTCATAAATAAAATATAATTGGTGTTTTAATTTCCCTATGCAATTTTTGGAAATAACAAATTTTTACAGTGGCGTGCCATGACGGCACTAGGGGCGGGCGCTATTGAGCCAAACCAAAGTTTCTCGTGCCGAACCTTTTAAAAGCAGTATACGAAATCAACAAAATCAAAAAGACTTCGATTTTGATATTTTCAATGAGAAAGGGCAAAACCATGTTACCATTATGTTTTAAACAATTATGTACGAGACATATCCATAGATAGTGAGACTCTGATGGTCTGGTTTTTGTTTTCGACAAAGTTAGCAACATTCTATTCAAGGCCAAGATGTTGAGAGCAGAACAGGCACTCATTTGTCTGTCAGTTGAGAACTGTTGTTGTAGTGGTGTTGAAATTAATGTCACTATTCCAAATCCCCCCAGATATGAGGTGAGGAGAGTAATCCGGTTTCTTCTTGCAAAGGGAGAGGCACCGTTCCAAATTTTTAACAAAATCAAAACTGTTTATGGGGGTGTGATGAATTGTACAAATGTGTATAAGTAGTGTCATGAGTATAAAGCTGGCAGAACGAATGTTCATGATGGACAAAGGAATGGGCTTCCCTCTATCGTGACTGAAGAAATTGTGAACAAGATCAAAGAAATGCTTCGTCGTGAAGGACGAGATAAACACAGTGTTTCCACAAATCTCCAGATGTCCCGTATATGAAATACTTGGTTATCGAAAGTTGTGTGCGAAGTGGGTACCAAAACTGCTCACAGATCAACACAAAGCCAACAGCATCGCATCTTCATGGGAATTTCTCGAGCACTTTGAACTGGAAGGTGAACAATTCAAAACCGTTGTTTTGGCTCGAAAAATCATATTAACTGTGTTTTGGGACCGTAAAGGGATTCTCCTCGTTACTTTTTGTCCCAGAGGGAAACAATTAATGCCGCAAGGTACTGTAAAATCTTGAACACACTACGGAGGCCGAAGCAGAACAACAGAAGGGAGGCAGTGTGCTTGTTGCATGACACTGCATGTCCCCACAAAGCAACTTTTGGATTCATTTGGGTGGAACATCATCAACCGTACACAGTCCTGACCTAGCACCTTCCGATTTTTGTTAATTCAAATAAATATTAACATTTTATTGGCAAAAAATGTAAAGGGTGTTTTGAAAAAATACAACCCCTCTCTCCTCCCCCATCTCATAATTATTAAAAATCTGTAGTCGATGTTGTAAAATTTTCGCCAGTTTTCGTCCAACTGAAAAGTAATGCTAGCACCGCTACAGTTTTTGTCCTTAAAAATAAATTGTAAATTTTATTCTGTGTTGTTTTGTAAATCTTCTATTAGGGAAGTAACTATCATATGGCAATTCAGGGCAAACCAAACCACAGGATGTCTTGATTTTGGAGGTCCCATCGTGACATCTTTGTCATCAGGTCCAATGTCTGTTGCATTAAGAGCTCCAATGATTGTTTGTGCTGTTTTTTCTAGTCTGATTTGTTATACCACTGCATATCATGGCACTGATTTCACTACCCTGTCTGCAGACAGCCTAACTTCCTCTAAAACTGTGGACAATCAACAATTAGACAAACCCTTTCATCTTATATGTCTGATGGCATTATTATCGACATTATGCCACTGCTTAATTTATTTTTATTTTCTATTTCAAACAGAATTATCTAGAAATTTGAAATTATAGAATGTTCAGAAGTTCATTAAGGAAATTTTCATTTCATTTTCACTGCTTATTACCATAGTATACTTTGCGACATATTATCTCATTACAGCAATTTATAAGGATTAAGGGCATCAAAAAATGTTATTTCATACAATAAATTTTTTAATAAATTATATCAAGACATAAATTCCATACATCATATGGCATTTTTTCTTCACTACTGTTCTTATACCTTTAGGTACACAAGGTTTAAAAATGTCGTGATCACATTTTTATAACGTAACTAAACTTAACATTCAAGTACACTATGAGCTTTTTTCTTCTAAAGCTGCTATTAGAGCCTTTTCCTGTTTTTCCTTAAATTTTTGTAATGCTGCCTGGAAATGTTCTCGCTGGGCTTTGTTTTCCGGAGGATACAATTCTCTTTTTGTTTTTACAACCCATTCCTCAAAATATTCAGGTTGATTAAAGTAATGAAATAATGCTACAGGAAAAGTTACATACAAAGCCATTTTAGCAACTTCTAACTTCCAGCCCCCCATGGTTACTAAAAAACTTCTAATAGCCTCATATATGAAAAAATTCTAGTTAGTTTACCTTATATACCAGTTTTAAATAATTATATAACTATTGCCGTTTATGGTACTTAAAGTAACTTTCTGTACAGATAACGTATTAACTAATACTTAATTTATTAATCTCCTATTAAGTACATTTATAACCCAACTTATATTTGGCACTTTTGGACTTTTGACAGCAACAAACCATAGATTACAGATATAGACAGCAAAAAACATAATTATAAATTATTATTATTATAATAGGTCATAGAGTTAGCTTCGTCATAGATTTCAAACAAATCAGATATCAGATAATTCAAAAGCGATGCGCAAGTTCTAGCGATGGGAGATCTCGAAATATCGAGTAGGATTAGATTATTGAGAATATCGAGATTCGAGATTAGTGATGGGCATAATCGACCAATTTTGATAATTGAGTTATCGGTAATCGAGTACTTCTAATAATCGAGTGATCACTCGAGATACGAGATATTGGTCGTTTTCATCCCAGCGGCGCACAAATATGTTTGTATTAGTCATATATTACTTATAAGCGTAGCTAAAAAAAAAAAAAAAGCTCACGCACTTCAAAACCTAACCACTTTTTTGTTTTATTCTAAAAAAAAGATTACGCAATCAGTGACTATTTGCAGTATGCACTAACATTTTGAGGTGCAACCGTAGGGTAATAATCACTCGAGTGGTGGGAGTAAACATCTCGAGATATCTCGAGTGGTTTCAATAATCGAGTACCACTCGATTTTTCACTCGAAATCTCCCATCAGTATTCGAGATCACTTGAGACATTCGAGATGTTCACTCCCACCACTCGCATGCATACTGCAAGTAGTGCAAGTAGTCGCTGATTGCCTGACCTTTATTATTATTATTTTTTTAAAAATAGCCTTTTTTTAGCTACGCTTATAAGTAATGTCCCAGACCTCTATTTTTTATTAGAAGTCTGTGAGTAATATATATGACTAATGCAAAAGTGTGCGCCGATGGGATCAAAATGACCAATATATCGTATCTCGAGTGATCACTCGATTATTAAAAGGACTCAAGTACTAATAACTCGATTATCAAGGCTGCCCAGGCCTACAGAGGTAAGGCAGGACAAAGAGGGATAGTCCCCCTCGGTCCCAAATTATCGAGGCTACGTTTAACACCCAAAATAACGGCGCGCGAATCGGATTCGGATTCGTTTTTGGTATTCGTTTATGTACTTTGCATTGTGTCACAAGCTTTAAGCCTCTGTATCTGTTTTTTCTAGGTTTATGGACCATGCCATGGAATTCTGTTTACATTTCATACAGAAGTCACAACATATAACCTACAAAATCTCAAAAATTAACCCCAATTTGTCATTTATCAAAAAGTTTGAACGATGAATATATTACAAACGTATTATTTTATAACGATATAAGTGGCATGATAGTGACAATAATTGTTATTGGTGTCATGCGTTGAACAAATTAATGAGTAATACAGAATTTTGTATTGTTTTAAGTATATGTGCTTACAGTTGCCATGTTCCATAAAATTTGGTTTGTACTTTTGTTTGTGTTAGGTATGTATGCCATAGAAACGATTACAATTATTTTTAGTATGGTTTCTGATTTCTTCTTCCCAAATATGGGTGGTGTAGAGGAACACATTTACAATCTATCACAGTGTTTAATTCAAAAAGGGCACAAAGTGGTGATTATGACTCACAGTTATGAAGATCGAGTTGGAGTACGTTATATGACAAATGGCCTAAAGGTATATTATTTACCAATAAAAGTGTTTTACAATCAGTGTGTGTTACCAACAATGGTTTGCAATGTACCATTAATTCGATACATTATAATTCGAGAAAGAATTGAAATTATCCATGGTCATTCTGCATTTTCAGCTCTAGCACACGAAGCTATGTTAATTGGAAACTTAATGGGGTTAAAGGTAAATAATGAAGTTTTGTATCATGTATGGTTAAATTTAGATGTTTTAGACTATATTTACAGATCATAGTCTATTTGGTTTTGCTGATGCTAGTGCAGTAATAACTAATAAATTTATTCAAATATCACTTGCCGATTGCAATCACTGTATATGTGTCTCTCATATTGGAAAGGAAAATACAGTATTACGAGCAAAAGTTGACAGTAAGCGAGTGTCTGTTATTCCAAATGCTGTAGATACATATTCTTTCACTCCTGATCCAAGTCAAAGATCAAAATCACAAAGTGAGTAGATGTTAATTACGTTGGTATCTCAGCAATGTTCAATCGTAAATACTTATGTAACAAAATTACTTACAATATTTTAAGTAATACTTATTTTTAGTTACAGTTGTTGTTGTATCAAGATTAGTTTATAGGAAAGGGGTAGATTTAACAGCTCAAATTATAGCAGATCTATGTTTGAAGTATAAAGAAGTATTATTTTTAATAGCTGGAGATGGTCCAAAAAGATGGTAATTATTACAACAAATTTACTTGAGTGTAGTTAGCCCCCAAGATGGAACAGCCGGATAAGACGAAATAACCTAAGGAATAGTTGAAAGAGGTGTACTATAACGCATGTCTACCATCAAACCGACTTGTCCGGTCCGGGGGTGGAAATGGCGTGACTTACAAAGTTAGCACCTTATTTTTGCTATTACTCTCATCGTACCCGGACAAAACGAAATAACCTATGGAATAGTTGAAAAAGGTGTATTATAACGCATTTCTACCATCAAATTGATTTGTCCGGTCCGGAGATGGAAATGGCGCGACTTACAAAATTAGCCCCCTATTTTTGCTATTACTCTCATCGTACCCGTACAAAACGAAATAACCTAAGGAATAGTTGAAAGAGGTGTACTATAACACATTTCTACCATCAAAGTGACTTGTCCGGTCCGGGGGTGGAGAGGGTGCAACTTACAAAGTTAGACAACTATTTTTGCTATAACTCTCATCGTACCCGGACAAGACGAAATAACCTAAGGAATAGTTGAAAGAGGTGTACTATAACACATTTCTACCATCAAAGTGACTTGTCCGGTCCGGGGGTGGAGAGGGTGCAACTTACAAAGTTAGACAACTATTTTTGCTATAACTCTCATCGTACCCGGACAAGACGAAATAACCTAAGGAATAGTTGAAAGAGGTGTACTATAACGCATGTCTACCATCAAACCGACTTGTCCGGTCCGGGGGTGGAAATGGCGTGACTTACAAAGTTAGCACCCTATTTTTGCTATAACTCTCATCGTACCCGGACAAGACGAAATGACCTAAGGAATAGTTGAAAGAGGTGTACTATAACGCATGTCTATCATCAAACCGACTTGTCCGGTCCGGGGGGTGGAAATGGCGCGACTTACAAAGTTAGCCCCCTATTTTTGCTATTACTCTCATCGTACCTGGACAAAACGAAATAACCTAAGGAAAAAAGGTGTACTATAACGCATTTCTACCATCAAATTGATTTGTCCGGTCCGGGGGTGGAAATGGGCGACTTACAAAGTTAGCCCCCTATTTTTGCTATAACTCTCATTTTACCCGGACAAGAGGAAATAACCTAAGGAATAGTTGAAAGAGGTGTACTATAACGCATCTCTACCTTCAAACTGACTTGTCCGGTCCGGGGTTGGAAATCGCGTGACTTACAAAGTTAGCACCCTATTTTTGCTATTACTCTCATTGTACCCGGACAAAATGAAATAACCTAAGGAATAGTTGAAAAAGGTGTACTATAACGCATTTCTACCATCAAATTGATTTGTCCGGTTATTTCGTTTTGTCCGGGTACGATGAGAGTAATAGCAAAAATAGGGTGCTAACTTTGTAAGTCACGCCATTTCCACCCCCGAAACGGAGAAGTCGGTTTGAAGGTAGAAATGCGTTATAGTACACCTCTTTCAACTATTCCTTAGGTCATTTCGTCTTGTCCGGCTGTTCCGTCTTAGGGGCTAACTTTGGGGGCTAACTACACTCAAGTAACAAATTTTGTCCTTGACGCATGTTAAGTAGGTACTATACATGTTTCTTGTTATTGATATTTTATGCACTATATAGGTTACTTGAAGAGATTCGAGAAAGGAAAGGCCTTCAAGACAGGGTCACACTGTTAGGCAGTTTAGAACATTCTAAAGTAAGGGATGTGTTGATAAAAGGTGATATATTTCTTAACACTTCTCTGACAGAAGCATATTGTATGGCTATTGTAGAAGCTGCTGCTTGTGGGTAAATACTTACTTTTATGAAAAATATGTACATAATTATAGTCAATTATCCATTTATTACCTACTTAAAAAAATATTCTAATTTTGAAATACTTCTTTGCTACCTTTTGCGTGAAATTCATGTTCCAAGTTTCTTACAAATACTTTTTCAGCTCAGAAATTATAAATATTCACTGATGTTTATGAATATTATTTTTTATTTTAGATTATTGGTTGTTTCTACTAAAGTAGGTGGTATTCCAGAAGTTTTGCCAGAAGATTTAATCTATTTAACAGAACCTAATGTTCCAGCCCTTATGAAAGGTAATACAATTAACATATAGTTGCAATATCTGATATTACTATATAATATCCATTGTTTTTGATTATTGGAAAGTTAAATATTGACTATATAAAAAAAAATGTTAGCCTCGTATGAATATACCTATTTTCTTAATATGTTCCCATTTAATTTAATGTTTTTTGTATGTAATAGTATTTACAATTTATTTCAAGGTTTGGATAAAGCAATAAGCGATTTAAAAGAAGGTAAAGTAGTATGCCCCTACGAATGCAATATGCGTATTAGGAAATATTATAATTGGGAAAATGTATCTTCAAGAACTGAAGTTGTTTATCATAGAGTTTCTCAAGAGTCTACAAAAAATTTAGGGCAGCAATTAAATGGGTAAGAAAAACAAATACTTTGTAAACTAAAATTAATAACATTTACCTACCTTATGGTGTTTCCTGATCATTCCAAATTATTTTAAGAATAAAATTTCATATTCATATAAACAAGTATTCTTAAAATGTCCCTTTTCTGATATGTAGAGTAAAGTATATTTATTTTTTCCATTCATAAATAAGTTGATTTTTTTCTCAACTTTTTATATCTATTTAATGAAAACACATATCTGTCGATTGTAAAATTGATTGCTCCACTCAGAAAACTCAAATTTTTTATATAAAGTGTGTCTGGTTTTCATTTGACACCCCCTTAAATACAAGGTAAAATCAATGACAAGTATATACATTATTCAATGTGCATGTTGGCAGGTTTTATGAGAGATTTTTTGAGACTTCATTCTTTTGTTCTAAATGAGTTCTTAATTAAATAAAACTGTTCTTAATTTAATATGTTTGCAGTTGGCATAATGTATTTATGCTTAAATATTGTTCCTGGCGATTTGTTTTTTTATGTATGTAAGCCGTTCTGTTTTTTTTTCTTTTCTCTTTTCTTTTTTGTTACATATACATAGTGCAGAACCTCTTCCTCCAAAAAGTTGTAATATTTTTTAGAAGGAATAAACTTATAAACTTATTATTATTATTATACATTATCCAATGTGGTTGAATCTTATACTATGCTCGTCTTCTTAACTTGTGGTTAGGTTCTATTCCTGTCCCATAGCGCCGTGGCCTTATCAGACCTATTGTGCATCCCACTGTTCGAACCTATTCAGCTAATAGTTTTGTCCTTTTTACTAAGCCCAAAAGCTTTCTTGCCGACACTTCTCTCAGCTTCTTGGGTTCCATAAAGGGTTTTCCCAGGAGTGTCATTGTACTGGGCGAATCCTGGAGAAGTTTTATCTGCCGAGTCACATCCTCTGCAGATCGGACTGTCTACAAGCTTTAGCTTCTATAGATGTTTCCTAATAGACCGGGAGATATTAGACTGAAATTCGACAACGTCTTTCTCATTTATGCCTCTGAGAGTACTGAAAGGTAACCAAGAGACAAGTACAATAAACTAAATTTAAAAGATGGACTGCGAGACACCTTTGTGAAAATTGAATTTCTCACTTATGCCATGTTCATAAGTTGAAGAGAAGTATCAATTTGATCACAAAATTTTTTTGGCATAAGTGTCGCAAGGGACCTAAAAATGGAATACTTTGTAAGAAAATGTGAAAAACATCTTTATTTGTCTACCAATTTTTCATTAATGCCAATTAGAAATATGGCATTATTATATTCGAAAAGCTCATAAAAAACATTGGCATAAGTCCTACTAAGGACTAAAGAAAATAGGGCTTTGGAAAAGCTGCGGAAAAAGAAAATTAAATTTTCACTAGGTGTCCCGGTGGGCACATCGGTTTTTCCATAATCATACTTATCTCTAATGTATCTTTCAGTAACCCTAAAAGGCATAAACGAGAAAGACGTCGTTGAACTTCTACGAGTATCTCCTGGTCTATAAAGTTATAGTGTTCCATTATAAGTCCCGTCACTTTCCTGAACCGAATTTTATTCAATCTCGGCAACTCATTCGTTCTTTTCTGCAAATAAGGATACTCCATAAGTTCCTTCGCATGGCTTTGCCCTAGCCTTGAAGCCCAGTATTTGCTATATTCTGACTCAATCCATTTGCCCAGAGCCCTTGTGATTACACTGGGATGTGTACCACAGAATGGTTCGGGCCCAATGAACTCTGTTTCGGATTCCTTTCTAGCAAGTTCATCCGCTTTCTCATTTCCATCAATGCCTTTGTGTCCTGGCACCCAACACAATCTAACTTTATTAGTGGTAGCCAGTTCAGCCAGCTAACTACACTTCGAGTGCAGCTGTCGGAGTTGATGACATCGCCCCCATCATCCCCAAACAGGCCACTCTCTGGAATTTGTTGTTTTTCCTTTGCTGTAGTCTGTTGTTTTTTTTCCACCATACCACAGCACCATAAAATATCCAGTATGATATCCTTGGCTTCAGTCACTGAGTTCTACTGATAAGGTGATGACATACATACAATGTCTGCTTCCCCTTACCACTTTTTCCAAGTTTGTATTCAAGGTAAGCTTATCATTCAATATCAATCGTAGATATTTAACCTCTCTGGAAAGCTGAATACACCTCTCCCCTAATATAGGTTCAGAGAGTCCAGTCAAATTTCTTCTCCTGGTAAGATATCTTGTCCAGGTTTACTGATAGTGCTTGCCCCTTAGAACAATTATCTATCCATTTCAGAGCCTCCTTCATAAGCTCTGAAACGATGATGTGTGTATTCGATAAAGAAAAATGATTTAAAATACGTTATACAGGGTTCAGCAGAAAGGTTGGATGGTTTTCAAAAAATCATAGAGTTGTTAGTTTTTCCACAAAAAAAAAAAAAAATATTGGCAGATTCTGGTGTGTCTTTTCATAGCAATTGAGAAAATCAAGTGTGGGAAATCACATCTGTCATGTGGTAGCCACAATCAGCGATACACTTCTGGAGGCGTTCTTTGATGTTGGCATCCACTCTTTCCAATGTTCATCGGTCGATTTGGGCGGCTTTTACGCAAATTGCTTCCTTCAATGCTTCTAGTGTTCGGGGCTTGTGCTCGTAAACATTTGCCTTGAGGTGACTCCACAAGAAATAATTGCACATGAATAAATTAGGGGACCGAGGAGGCCAGTAAATGTTGCCAAACCTGGAAATGATGCGACCAGAGAAGAGAGGGTGAATGATGATTATTGAGGCATTAGCTGTATGGGCTCTTGCCCCATGGTGTTGAAACCACACACGTTGGATCGGTATTCGTTTTCGTCGTAACTCAAAAAGAAGTTGTTGGTCATCTCGACATAGTGCTCCGAATTGACGGTAATAGCATTCCCATTATCATCTTCAAAAAAAATAAGGGCCAATGATGCAAGTTTTGCCTATAGCGCACCAAGCTGTCACTTTCGCACTATGTAATGGTTTTTCATGTAATGTTCTCGGATTTTCATCAGCCCAGTAACGCAAGTTCTGTTGATTCACCATGCCATTGAGATGAAAATGAGCTTCATCACTCATTAACAAAATGAGGTTCTTATTTTGCTCTAAAAGTGCTTCCATCTCACGCATGAAGGTGAGTCGTTGTGCGTAATCCTCAGGCTGCAACTGTTGCACAATGACCAATTTGTAGGGGTGAAAATCCAGATGCAAAATACACATTACCGAACGATCACTGATGCCAAGTTCAGCAGCATGCATGAACTGCGCAGAAAGGCTTGTCGAACAGGTTCGACATTTTCAGAGGTTCGAACCGTTCATGGAACTCCTAGAGGTCTTCTATTCGTCAAAACACCTCGTGTATGCAGTGCTTAAACTAAACGAAGAATGGTGTTTCGCGATGAAACTGTCATAGACAAAAACGCGGTGTTCTACCGTCCACAGTTCCATGGCTTCAACTGGTAAAAATATGCTAAGACCTAGCAAAGCTAACGGTGCCTGCCGCACAGCTGTCATCCCAATAGTGGGGAAGTACCGTCAACGGGGGTGATGTTGGACGAATTTTTCGATTATTTTACTCTATTTCTGGGTCCGATATGTCAAAAATTCTGAGGAAAATCATGTAGGTAGGCCGAGGTGTATTCTATTGCGTGGTATAATTAAAGTTTGTATTTTGATTTTAGTTTTTTATATATTTTTTGATAACGGTTGTCCAACTTCACCCGGCAGAAAGGGGTGAAGTTGGACATAGCTTTAAATTAATGGAAATCCAGCTCCGGAACGGTCTATTGCCCGAGTTAGACCTAAAAATTGTTTTTTAAAAAGGAAATCTTTCAGTTTTACTCTAAAATAAATTTATAGAGTTTGAAAAATGTGTAATAAACCTATTAAACTATCATTAATAAAATTTAAATTTCTTATAAAAATATAACAAAAAATATTTAACATTATTTAAAAATTTATTTAAAACTATTATAATTCCTTTAAGGTAGTTGTGAAGTGTTGATTTTGGAACATTCCACTTTTCACCTGCAACCCTGACACTTAAAATATCTTATTTTTCACTTCTTTTACTGCCATTTCCAAAGTTCTGGTGGGGTAATTACAATTTGGCTTTATTCCAAGCGGTTTTCGATATTTTTGGGGCATTTTTTGGGTGTCCAAGTTCACCGTGGAATAACACAACATTGTAAAAAAAATCTTCCACTCCACTATTTTTACAAAAATATAATTGAAAATTTCCATGACTAATACTCATACAATAGTGCAACTCCTCAGACAAAAAGGTTGATATTCCGCCAGCCACATCGTAGATACAGTAGTTATAAGAACAAGTTTATGAAAATGTCAAAATTTCATACAATACTTTTGTAAATCACAGACTTACTTACTTCCGTCCTTCATACCCACACCGCGTTCCAACAGAAACAGAACATGTTGTTTCACGATTTCTGCCGCCAAATCAGTTAAACGTTAACCCCCCACCTACCGGGTAGGGATTTTTTTAACACTACCGTTTGTCCACCTTCAGCCCTGCTGTCCAACAACACCCCAGTTGACGGTACTAGCCATATCAAAAATGTCCGACCTTTCTGCCGGACCCTGTACTTACCATACTTGCTCATATTTGGTTGTATAAAACATTTGATATTAGGTATTTAATAAATCACACTTTATGTGCGATAATAAAAAAATACCTGATTTTATTTTTTTTAGTTATCTTGCTAGTGGAGTATGGCCTTTTCTCTTGGTGGTTTCATTAACTTTTTTGATATTACATTTATATGAGTACCTGGTACCAAGGAAAGACATTGACATTGTTAAGGATTATAATCATAAATTGCAAAGGAAAATAAAGGAAAGATAACAAAGATTTCGCAATCATAAAGATTTATTTAATATTCTTACCAATAATAAATATAATATAAATGTACATTTGTGATTTTATTTATGTAACTAATTTAAATAAATATGTAATTCTTACGCAAAGAAAATAAATATATTGTTTACCAAAATATAAAATTCATTGTACTGTTTTTTTTTAAAATTAACAAATTTTTTATAGATTAATTATTTGATAATCCACTCATTCACGCATAATAAACATGTAAGTAATTCTAAGAAAAACTACAAAAATTATGACCAAATGGTTTTTCCTAGACTTACTGTACAATGTTATTTAATATAGAAGCAAACTAGAATTACTAATAATTCTAAATTTTTATAAAAATCTTTGAAATATTAGGCCTGATAGAATTTGATTAGGTACAATATAATTTGCTTAGGTTTATTTTGGAATGTACATGGAATGCTATAAGCTGCCAACTAATTTGACAAAAATATTGATATTGTGGTTTGGTCCACGATTAATAAATACAATCCTCATAAACCCAAGCCCTTGTATTTCTTACCTCTAGGTAAATAATCTTTCTAGAATATTCCATATTTCAACTAGTATACAAACTATCAGATAGAAGATCACTATACAAGACACAACAGGATTTATTATTGTATGCTAGGTCTGGTCCTCGTTTGGGGGCCTTTGCTCTTGACTAGTACAATTCCAAGATAAGCGTTTGTGGATGCTCGCATCCCTACTGTCATTTTTCTGAAAAATAAAACAACGTGGTGAAGAAACATCATTTTTAACACACAATTCACACATATTACAGAAGTTTTTTCGGTGAGCTTAACATTAGTACGTCGACCATTAGCATTCATTTTTTGCGTAGCCATTGAATGCCCTTTCAAACTTGCAGGAATCGGAAACGGCAGTCATTACCGATTAGGTATTGCCTGTGGAACTAAATTACGCATACAAAAATAATTGTTTTTTAATAATGTGTTGGTGTTGCTGGCTACTTGGTTCTGCCAAGTGTGAAAAGGCACTGATGGTTAAAGTGCCTAATTTTTTCGGTACGGACTTATGTGTAGCTTGTCGGCATGTGAACGTACCATTAGAAGAGTAAAAAAACCAGTGACCATCAGCTCACTGACTATTAGCATTTGTATATAAGTAACTAGCGAATGTCCCTTTTTAGTACGAGGTTTGATCAAAAAGTAACGGGGACTTAGTTTTCTCAGAAAGTATTTGCTTAATCTTCAATTTTTATCCCATCCCCTTCAAAGTAATTCCCCTGCGGTATTATACACATGCCAACATAGTTTCCAGTTTGAGAAACTGATGGAACGCCTCTTTAGGTATCGTCTTGAGCACAGTTTGCGATTTTGCCTTTATCTCGCCTACTGAAAAACATTGTCATTTGAGTATCTTTTTAAGTTTGGGAAAACTAACCAGTGACTACCGTTTAATCAGTAGTAATTTTCTCGAAAACAGTTAGTCGTATCAAAACAATTTAATGAAGTAACATTCAAGATCATTGCATTACTGATTAGATGGTGAAAATAAATTTTAAAATTTTTCACGGTAATAGTTAATAAAATTTGAAAATATGGTGTGCATTTAACTCTTCATATCTCGGAAACGGTTGGCCTGAGAGATTTTGACCAAGTACACCTTTTTTTGCTTAAAGTTGATAGAGGAATAAATGCACTAATACGAAACGTCAATGTACAGGGTAGCAAAAAAGTTAGGGCCAATTTAATTCAAGTGTATCCTTATAGGTGGTGCCCTCTACAAGCATTGTCAAAAGCAATGAGAAATTTAAATTTAGCATCCTAAAAAACCCTCGTATCCCAAGTTTTATGCCAACATTCAAATTTATTTGGAAATTATTCCTAAAAAATCAAAAAAAAAAAATTAAACTTTAGCATCCTATATAGCGAAAACTAAGCATTTGTGGACGCACGTTTATAGGAAATAAGTCTTATTTTGACCTCAAAAATACACCCCTAAATTCTTTGTACTGAATTTTGAATCACCCTGTATAGTATCCTGATGACACCTGTTTAGTACATTTCACTATCATCTAGTACAATTTGTTCAGGCAGGTTATACATTTTCCTAACAGTCGGTGCAACACTGATATTCGATGAATATCCAGAACAGATAGGTGGACCTCAAAACTAAAAATTGGACAAAAAAACGGATATCCATAGAACATTATATGCTATGTGGGAGATCAAAAAAATATAGTTTGAATTTTGTAAAGTTAGTATGATCTCGAAAACACTATAAGATGTCTCAGTTTTATACTTTGTCTTTCAGACTACCACATATTTTGGTTCTAATTGTTAATATTTGAAGATTATTATAACTTTTAACAGACCATGTTTTCATCAAAATATAAGAAATATTAGCTTCGAGTCTCGGTTAAGACTTGATTAACTAATCAGGCGATTCGACTGTGAATATACTATTATAAAATAAATCAGTATATGTACAGTCCAATCATGTGATTAATTATAACCAAGGCTTAAGCGAGACTCAAAATACAGGGCCTTATTGTAATAAATTCAATTCAGTTGCATAATAATTAAAAAAGAGACTGGTGTGCTCTGGATTTTGAAGTATCAGTTTTTTGAGTTGGTGGACAGACGTTGCAAGAGACAGTCCTATTTGACTCATCTCTGAATAGTAAGAAGATATAACTGTTTAATAGGGAAAATCCCAAGGGAGAGTGCTACAAGTAGTATGGTGAGCTGGAGATTTCCAAATCACGAGTTGAAAGTAACCACTGAGCCAAATCGTCAACGTACAAGCAGAATGGCCCAACGCGGTTATCCGTGTATTTTTTTTTAATAAATTTATTACAAACAAACAAACAATTTTGTATTAAACAAACGATACATTAATATATAATAACTAGCTGACCCGGCAAACGTTGTTTAAAAAATAAAGACAGAAAATTTTGTCCAAAAAATAAAAAAAAAATTTTGGGGTGGACCACCCTTAACATTTAGGGGTATGAAAAATAGATGTTGGCCGATTCTCAGACCTACTCAATATGCTCACAAAATTTCATGAGAATCGGTCAAGCCGTTTCGGAGGAGTACGGGAACGAACATTGTGACACGAGAATTTTATATATAAGATATAATAAATAAACAAAGGAGCTGCAAAGGCAATCCTGTGCGCAGCTTCTCGTATTTTATTACATATTAGGGCAAAATATAAAGCAAAGTAAAAGTGCTTGAAACAGATGCGAGTACAATTTAAAACAAAAAAAAATAGCAAAATAACAAAGTTTCTACAAAAAACTAATTAACAGAGTAGGACATAGTATAGGACAAAGGTAAGTGTATGTTTATAACAAATTTTTTGAGTTATTATTTCTTCAATTCAAATTCAATCGGTAGGTTTAATTATTTTTAATGTCTATATAGTTATCAATTATACTTCTACCACAATTTAATATACATTTCTTTACTTTATTTTTAAATATATTTTTGTTTTTAGAATCACGAATATCACATGGTAATAAATTATACAATCTAGGAGCAAGAAAGTCATAAGAACGTCCAATTGTTGTTAGAGCTCGTGGAATAACGGTTACCAGCCTGCTCCTTGTAGAATAAGGATGTTTTATAGGTCTTAATGTGTTTTTATTTTTATGTTGATGTACGACAACCTTTAAGAAAGTAAGTTTGTCTTGGATCAAATACCTTTGCTTCCCTATACAATTCATCACTAGGATACTTACAGTTTCTTCCTAGCATTATTTCAAAAATATTTTTTGTAAAATTTCAATTTTTTTCATATATGTCTTAACTACTCCACCCCAACTCAAAATTCCTTAAAACATTCTAAACTCAATTAAGGAGTAGTAAATCGATTTCATATAAGGTAAGTCAAGTATTTTTTTACATATTTAAATTTATATATTAAAGTTCGAACTGTTTTTATGGTTTGATTTATGTGGAAGTCCCATCTTAAATGTTGATCAATAAGCACACCGAGATATTTTAAATTTTCACAACTATTAATATATAACATTGTCCCATTATTTACAATATTAAGTTCAGTATAATTCGGCAATCCATTCTTGTAAAAACTGAATGGGATAAACTTTGTTTTTTCAAAGTTTATAGTTAATAGTTTATGATATGATAAAATAATTAATTATCCGTTAATAATTAAGTATCCGTTACTAGTAATATTAGCAAGAAACAGGTGTGCTACCTCAAAAACATGTTTATTTCTTGTGTTCTTTTTTGCTCAATATTAAGATTATAATCAAAATCAAATATTACTTTCACTTGCATCTCCTCTGTCTCATCTCTGCAGGTTTAATTCATTAAAGGAAAAACAAACCACCGCAACATACTTTGCCACACCAACGGACCACCCATTATATATAGAGTGTTCCATCAGGAATCGCCACTATCGATATCTCGGAAAGTACTGATGCAATAAATCTGAAAATTTGGTAACACAGCAAAGGCGGTAGGGCCAACACAGCTAAAATATTTAGAACTTTATGACACTAAACGGCATAACCGGAAGTAACATAACATTATCTTTCTTATTTTAAATGGGAAACGATCCCCAAGCATTTTTATTTAAATTTTTGGTATGTTTCAGGTCACGGCCTTTTCGACAACAGGTCTGGTACAAGAGAAACTGTCCAAAAAATAGAAATTTGCAAATACCTAGTAGTAACGGCAACCCTTACATTGGCTATATGGCTTGAAAGGAAATTTCAATCTGCATATGACAGAGTAAAAAAATACAGGCTATTCCATTTAAGTTAAGAAAGTTATAGCTGTTTGAAGTTATCAAAAATGTAACAGCAAAATGGATAATTTAGTGTTACTTATGCCCTTTACAGGTACCAAAAATCCACTTGATAGCATGCTCCTGAAAAGAGTTACTAGCATCTCCACAGATCCTTGCCCCTTTTAAAATAATAAGAAAGTTAATGTCGACTAGTGCCATAAATTCTAAATATTTTAGCTGTGTTGGCTCTACTGCCTTTGCTAGGTTGACAAATTTTCAGATTTATCTGACCAGTACCTTCTGAGATATCGATAGTGGCGATTTCTGGTAGGACACCCTGTATATTTAATGGGTATTGGGAAATTTACTAGCTATAAAGTATTTAATGTTTCTCTCACCTTTATATCATCCACAACCCCCGCCGTATGATATCTGTAATTCCGTTTTATAGCCTGGCGATGCTGCCCTCTACTAAAGGATTCACAATGGTCTTCTTGTTGTGGTTGTTGTTGAGAAACCCCTATAGGAAACATGTGGTCAATAAATACTCGTTTTATTTAATCATTTCTTTTTATTTAAATTCTGCATTCTGACATTTGAACGCAGTTTAAAAAATATAAAAAGAAAACATAAAAGCATGTTGGTGCTATGCGCTATATCTACTCTAAGTGTTCTATATCATAGAGTATTGGAAATTTAAAGCAAGTTTTGTGTTAGTTGATAAAACTTTATTCTGTAAATTTTAGTGGTGGAGGAAGCAAGATGCTTAATTTTATATTAGAGAAATAGAATAGTTTATTAAATAAATATGTTATTACTCTGGCCAAGATCAAGAATATATAGAATGGCTATTTTCTATCCTCTTGCATCATAACTTTTTGTTTTTAGTGGAAGAAAATCTATTAAATTAGCATTACATTAAAGTTGACCAGAATTTTGTGGGCAGTTAGTTCTTGAATTAACTTGAAAAAAAAAAATGGAGAATATTAAATAATTGAAAGACCGCAATGTTCTACGAAGCCATTAAAAAAATAAGTTTGTACCAATGAACCTAAGGAAAACAAAAGTTTTATACCTGTCTTGAAATTAAGTTTATATACAAGAGTATGGGTCTCAGTGGCATAACTACGATATGGCAAAAGGGAGCTCCTCTATTCAATCGACTTGAACTGTATTGGGTATCAAAAATTGTATTATTGTGTGTCGCAAATTATATTTTTTATACAAAGTGATTCATTAAAGATGGAAAATCTAGAAATTTTATAAACTAAAATATGGCGATTGGATTAAATATCTCTTGTTACAAATATTCACGTTTTAAGAGATACAGATCGTTCAAGATTAAATTTTATTTTCATATTTCTTAGTAGAAAGTTTTTGTAGTATCAACTAAAAAATTGTCAGTTTTACGATTTTTCTTGGCATAATAAATAATAATTTCTGTTTAAATTTGTCGTAATTCGTTAGGTGTGGCACAAATTATACATCTTTGGTAAATTAAGGAATATTTTTTCTATATAATAGTAATTCTGAAAAAGTACAACAGATAGGGAGTCTTTCTTAATTTCGATATCTGTTCGCTTTCAAGATTTTTGCTTAACTTCACACCTATTATTATTATTATTCTACTTATTTATTTCCTAGTGCTTAAGGTAAAAGATGCAAGGAGTGATGAAACTTTAATCATGACTTGACTAATCATTCTCTAATTAGGCTGGATCTCTATATACAAGTAAATATGTCAGTCAATGGTGAAGATACAGCGAGTTACCACCTCTAAGAACCCCAGAAATTTGACGCCATTGGATATTCCGGAAATTCTATAACGACTATTAATTCCAAGTAGCATTTCTAAGAAAAAAAGATTTCTTACTGGTATGAAGAACTTCAACTAATTTAGAATAACTAGAATTACCATCCCACAATGGATTATGGATTTTTTCTTAATAGATATGTGATTTTAAATATTAGGTATGTATGAATGAAAATGCCAAAGAAATCATTTGCATGTAAATTTTGCATTTTGCTACTATGTGTAACAAGGTTGCAAATCCTGAAAAAATGCAAAATTTTTACAGTAATGATTTTTTTTTAGAAGTGTGATTTTAATTATATTAAATTATTATTATAAGTAAAAGGAAGTCTGAGAATATCATTAGCGTATAAATTTCGCATTTTTCCCCCTCATACTTCCTACATATGGCATAATGTAAAATTTCTATGCCAATGAAAAGAAAAAAATATTCAGTCAATTCATCTAAACTTTGTGGAAGGGTTCGAATTGAATTTTGCAGGGGTACCTAAATTCTGCAACTGATGAATCCACATGTCTTTACGAGTTAGTTGAGATTAAAGGATTAACAATTTTATTATTATACATTTGTCAGTATAATTCAGGAACCTCAACCGTTAATCTGATTTTCAAAATAACATATTCAATTGGTGAGAAAATAATGGACGTTCCAGATAATTTATTTTCTAGCTTGACAATATAAATCAAGTGTATTACCTTAATTGAAATTAATCTTTTGGTATATGGTTATTTTTTATGTGAGAATAATTTAGCAGCTGAAATTATACAATGATTCTATAAATTAGATAGGTAGGTAGGTAATGGTTGTGTAGATACCATTTTTTTAAATATTATTTATCACATATTATACTTATTATCACTTTTTATACTTAATTCACTGTGTTTTTATTCTCTAGTATCAATATTGTCGTACAAAAATTATACTATATAATGATGACATTCTTGATACAAAATGTTAGCTGTGACGTATTTATATCAGTCACTTTTAATAATAAGCATCGTGAATAAATCAAGAATTTATTTTGTTTTGGCGTTGTAGTGAATGTGAAATCCCTAAAATTTTATTTTTATGTGTCCTGCTTTATTATTCAAAAAGCTTGATTATTTTTTAGGCAATGTTAAAATTTTTGGCATATGATTATCTTTCCACTTAAAATTTACAGCAGCAATTCCTATATAGGTATGTACATTCACCCTTTATTCTATGATCAAAATGTTTAATATCCACTTTTCATTTACACTAGAAGGTTTTTCCGCGATAATCATCAAAAGTTCCTTAAAAAATTAAATGTCACTAATTATATTTAGAAAAACGAAAATGGCACAACCACATTCTCTGCATTCTGAAGTTCGGTCTATTTCTCAAATTACATTTTTCTCTTATTTTGAAGGTGGTACATCTACTTCGTAAATTTTATAAATTCATATATTTAGTGTTTATATAAAAAAGATTAGACTGTCTAACACAGTGGACGTATTTTTTTAACATGTAGGTACTTCATGAATTTTATAAATCTTGTCTACTAAATGATTCAATAAATTCACCATTTCTCACATATCTTATTCACATCTCTTATAACAAGAAATTAATATTGAAATAGTTTAATTTTAAAGTGTGATTGGGTCACATTTATGGATTGTGGATATTATGGATAAGCATGTCCGAGGAAATGCCATACACCACATCGTCGTTTCGAAAATAGTTAAATTATTCCAAACTTTTCGTCCTGTATATTGGTTGTTAACAAAAAAAAATAACTTCATCCTTTGTGGACCCATTGTACCTACATCATTAAGTCCCCTGGTAGCAAAAATCTTGCACAAGACACATACAAGACTACCTACTTCTGAAATCAGTATCAGGTGTACTGCAAGATTCATTGTGCAATTGTCTTGATCAAAGCTTTCAATGGATTTGATTCAGGGCACTTGAGCACAAAGGGGTAAATTAAAGCAAGTGACTATGTTGCAGACTTACATTATAATTAAGTCAGACATATTGTACTTGACTTATACTAATTCACCCCTTTGGACTCAAACATTTTTGGTTAAGTCTGGTGCAAGTATTGTAAAAGTATCTTGCATAAGAAACGATATAAATTTTAGCAATAGACACAAAACAATCTGACACAATTTGGCTATTTCAAGTAAACTTGAAACAACTTGTATTAGAATTGCACACAATTGTGCTACCAGTTTCACCACAATTTGTGAGCGAAAAATTTACTCGCACAATGCTTAATGAATTTACTAATATAAAATTAAGTAATAATATATAAATTATTATTATCTTCATCCACCATATACGTTTTTGTTTAACATGTACATTTTTTCTTTTTATCTAAATGTTTTTCAAATACAATATTTTAGGATTTTGTAGAGATTTATAGCAGAAATTTAGATATTCGTAAACTTACTATTAGGTAGTGTGGGTACCTACATGCATTATAGTGTAAAGCCAACTATAAGCTTTTTAAGATATCAACGTACTGGCGTTGTTCATTTAAAAAATGTACATACTACACGTTATGTGATTTAAGTGTTTTATTAATAAATGCAATTAATATAAACTAAACGCATAGCTAAACACTACCTACTTCTTAGGTTGTACTTAATTAAATATACCTATAAGTAAATATAATATTTTCGAACAGATCTGAATATGGTTAATAAAAGATTAAATATGTTATAACTCTAGAAGCAGGTCTCCATGCTAAAAATAAAAGTTATGGAAAATTTTATGTTTTTTGTTAGTTGTCATAGCATTTCTTTCTACTCTTCTAAGTATGCTGCATCCACCAGCATATAAAAAAATATTATTATGCAAAGTAGTCTAAAATAGATACAAAGTTAAAATATTTGTTTAGTAATTAAAAGTAACTACTTTTAGGAATGTTTGTCTAAACAAATATTGTAACTTTAAAAAAAAATTAAATAAACAAATTCAAAAGCTCAATAAATAATAAAAGTTCAGTTTTGTAAAGACTTATCAACTAATTAGTTAAAAGCAAATAATGTACTTCCAAAACTCTATCTTGCACATACAAAATCGGAACTCACAAGATGTGACTGAATTTACGTTGGCTCAGAGTGTTCTTCTTCTAATGTCGTGAATAAAGAATAAGACAAGAAAAATTAACTATCAGATGTGTTGTAGAACTGTTTACAGAAATAGCTAAAGTGAATTTTTAGTGAAACACTGCTATAATATATATGTACGTAACTGTTTTATGTATTGGGTGTTTCTGAACTTATGAAATACGAAGTAACCGAATTTAGGACACCAAAATGCATTATACAGGGTGTCTTGTGAGGAAATATAGAAAATTTAATGGAATATTTAAATATAAAAAAAGTTCATAGAAACTATTTTCGATATATCGATATACCTTCAAACTAATAGAGAGTGTTATGTTAGCTCAGTGGGCTGTGGTTCAGTGAAAAAGGGTTGGCAGCAATGGTTCGGTGTGTGAACATTGAGTCGAGTCAGTCACATGTCAGTCACGCCACAGTCACACCGTCTAAGTGTATTTCATGTTATCATTAAAATTAATAGTCAAATAAAAGTCTTAATACAAACCAGAGTCTGTTATATTAGTCAATACATAACAGAGAGAAATTTTGATTTTAATATTTGATAACTTTACTAAATTTTATAAGAATAATAACTACATTTAATACTTATAAAACCATATTAGTAAATCTGC